GGCCTGGGGATAAGACCCTAACCTCGCCCCACCCGAATGCTGAATGAATGTTGTGTTTTATTGGTTTATTTTTTATTCACATTTTTTTTCTTGTGTTTTGTCTTGCACTCCCTTCCCATTAATTGTAAGCTGCCCTGAGTCCCCTCAGGGAAAAGGGCGGCCTATAAATGTCAAATAAATGACTAAATGACTAAATGCTCTGGACCAGAAGGTGGGTGGATGTCCCAGCAAGATCCAAGTGGTGGGTTATTGCACCTCCTCCCACCCACCCCCTCTGGCCACGTTGCTGCAAAGGTTGCTGGGCTTTGAGAGACTGCTGGCCAGCGGGGAGGAAGGGAGGTAGGCTAGTGCAAATGCTTACCAAACTGGTAGGAACCAACCTCTGGAGACTAGCTGAGCAGGGCGGGGGGGGGGAGCGGTTGGGGGCAGGCCAGGGAAGGGACCATACTGGTACAGGGCCTCTGACTCTATGGGTACGCAAACATATGCCCGATTTCTGCAACCGGTCCGGGTGTATGGGTGCGTACCAATAGGAACCCACCACTGAAGTAACCCCTCCTTTTTACAGTAAATCAACCACAAAAGTTGTTTGAAGTTAGATAACCAAATGCCAGTTGAGGCTTTTTCTTATCAGGAGATAGTATCCTGATAAGTATCAGTATCTACAGAAAGATAGTATCTTTCTGTAACTTTTTCCTTTCAGTTTAAGGATGTTAGAAGCTATCTAATAAATCCATACAGTCATAGGATAAAACGTTTTCCTACATTCCAGTCTAATGGTTTTATAAAAACTTATCACCATTTTAAAAGAGAGAAAAGTAAGTCAAATCAAAATATAAAGTAATTGTGTTTCAAATACAAAGTAAAATATAAAATAACTACGTTAGCTAACAAATTAAAAAATCAATGTCATTTGCCCCTCACTCTTGAGTTTGAGAGAGGTCTATAAAGCTTAGAAAGCATTCATATTTTCATTTTTTTATTTTATATTTTAATTATACATAAATACTTTGAAAACACTGTATTGTCTGGGTCAATTTTGTTTTACAGGGAAGTGACAAATCTTCTGATAATAATAGTAATAATGAAAGTTGTAATTATAAAAATTATTATTATGTTAACTTATTTATAATCATAGTCATAATAGGCTTCCTGGTTTTCCCCACCCTGTTGAAAGTTCAAGATCTTGCCCCCACACCCACAAGTCCATCACATGGTCCAATCGCCCACTGCCATGCTGGCAGTTCCACCCATCCTGGTCAGGTGCAGAGATGCAGAGACCTTGGCTTTCTAGAAAGGAATTTTGTTTGGGCTAAATAGTATGTGACTCCGTACAATCCCCCCTCCCATTTTCCCACAATAGAAAATGCATAGCAGAATAATAGAAAGTGTGGCAGGCCAAAAACCCAAAAGAAAANACAAGGAGTTTGCTTCATGCTCTTGGGAAGCCTGGGTCAGAACAGGTTGTAATCCTGGAGTGGGAGAGAAATGCTCCAGATAGACTTTAAGATCAGTTTTGAGGCCTTTCTCCAAATCTCCTCCCCAAGGAGGTGAGGTGGATCTCTATAATGGGGTGGGGGTGGGGGTGAGCCTTTTCAGTGACCAGATGCCATTTATGGAATTCCCTCCACAGAAAGAGGCTCAACTCACCACATTGTTGTTCTGGCTCTAAGTCAAGACCTTGCTATTTTCGCCGCTTTCTTAATGGGCTTTTAATTGTATTTTAATTCATCTCGTTTTAGCATTTGAATGACTTACCTTTGCAGCTCCCTGGTTTATATGGGTTTTTTTAATTGCACACATTTTGATTTTAACTTGCTTTTTTCAGTGTGTTTTTAGTGCAAACTGCAGAGAACATTTCAGCTGGTGGGCAGTTTAATTTAATTAATAAATAATATAAAATCTATGCACCACAAGAATAAGGCATTGCCCTTCTTCCTTGAAGGGAAACGCTAAATGAAGAGCATGACTTCCAGTGAAGTTAGACTGATGAAAAATTAGGCCTGGGTAATTGCATGGAAGTCCTGCTCTAATAAGGCAGCTTGAGCAGAAGCCTTTTAAACCTTCTGGATGGTCCTCCTGAGATCATCCACACCACACCTGAGTGACCCCTGAAATCAGCTCAAGCAGTAGAGCAGAGGTCTTCAAACTTGGCAACTTTAAGACTTGTGGACTTCAACTCCCAGAATTCTCCAGCCAGATTCTGGGACTTGAAGTCCACAAGTCTTAAAAGTTGCCAGGTTTGGGGACCCCTGCAGTAGAGCCTTGAAATCCTTTAGCTTTGTAAAAGCGCCTGCAATGCAAGCAAGGGTGGTTTTAAAGCTGAATACGTGCTGCCCTCTTGCGGCCATTACCAGTAACAGTGGCCTGGCTCAGAACTATCAGTTTCTATTTGATTTGAATAATGGAGGACAAGCTCCTTAATAAAGGTAGTTCTCAACTTGCAACAGTTCATTTAGTGACCATTTGACATTACAGTGGCACTAAAAAAGGGACTTGACCGTTTTTCACACAACAGTTGCAGCATCCCCATGGATCAAAATTCAGGCGCTTGGTAAGCGACTCATAGTAATGACGGTCGCAGCGTCTTGGGGCGGCACAGGCAATCAGCTTTTGCGACCTTCTGACAAGCAAAGTCAAAGGGGAAGCCAGATTCACTTAACAACCGTGTTACTAAACAACTGAAGCGATTCACTTAACAAGTTGTAAAATGGGGCAAAATCGACTTCACAAAGGTTTTGCTTAGCAACAGAAATTTTGGGCTCAGTTGTGGTGTTAAGCTGAGAACTACCTGAAAACGGGCTTTGGTTGAGTGGAAGAGATACTCTTCATGCACAGTTGCCCGTTTGTGCACAGAAGGTCCATCCTTAGAGCCGTGATGGCAAACCTATAACACCCATGCCACAGGTGGCATGTGGAGTCCTCTCTAAGGGCACATGAGCCATCGCCCAGCTCACCTCCACTGTGAATGTGTGCGTGCCTCCCGCTGGCCAGCTGATTTTCAGATCGTTGCCACACATACAGGAGATGTGAGGGGGCGCACATACATGTGCGGGGGTCGTGGGTTGTGTGTGCATTCACGGGGGTCATGTGGTTGTCCGTGCATGCGCGGGGGTTGGAGGCACGCCAGGAGGCTTCAGGGAGGCCTGCTAGGCCAAAAACGGGGCACAGGGTGTCATGTGCCTGTGCATGGGGTGTGCAGGGGTTACGTGCATGTGTGTGGGGTCAGGAGAGCATGAGGCTCATCATGCAGCATGCACAGGGCATGGGGCATGTTGCATTATGGGTACGGGCATGCATGTGTGTGCTGTCACGCGCACATGTGCAATTTTGGCACGCGAGAAAAAGGTTAGTCACTCCTGGGATGTTGAATTTTGGGAGTTGAAGTTCGCTAGGCTTAAAGTGGCCAAGGTTAGACACCCCTGGTTTAGAGCTGGACTGGAAGACGTCCAAAGTCCCTTCTAAGCCTATTCTTTTATGTTCTGTGTTCTAAATAAAGTAACGATGGTGGATGCTGTTGCTGGAATTCCCTGGCTGATTGATTTCCTTCTGTGTTGTTCCTTGCAGTTTGAGATGCTCACAGGGTCTTTGCCGTTCCAAGGGAAGGACAGGAAGGAAACGATGTCGCTCATTCTCAAGTAAGTCTCCGCATGCAGACCCCGGGGAGGGTTTGCCTCAGTTTGACGCCCGGTTGGTGAATTGCTGTGGAAAGTCTCTCTTTGGAAATAGATCAAGGGTATCCAAACTTGGGAACTTTAAGTCTTGTGAACTTCATCTCCCAGAATTCCCCAGCCAGCCAAGTCCACAAGTCTTAAAGTTCCCAGGTTTGGACACCCCTGAAACAGATGGAAGCTGATGAGGTTATATCAGAGCATTTGCGGTGTGACTACTACCATCTTTCCCCGTAAATAAGAGGTATTATTTCTGAGGTACAGGAGGCGGCGAGCATGGTCACCTCATGGCTGCTGCTGTGTTGCAATATTTTCAGGGAGGGCTTATTTTA